GGTTTTCAGCTGCTGACGCACAACCCACCACGCCATCAGGGCCCCTGGAGGGGCGTGCGAGACACAAAGCGGCAGCTGTCGTGTCTCCCTCTTGGCTGAAACGTCCGGGGAGGCAAGTAGAGAAGGCCAGGGGTGGAGTTGAGGTGACCCTTGGCCGGGGGAGGGGGGAGGGGAACTGTTCATTGATTCTTTCGACTCTTCATTATGAGTCGGGTGAAGGCTGAGTGAGCAGATCCTTCTCCGTCCAACGCTGGGGACACATGTTGCTCCGCCCGCTGACCGCCGCTCAAGATGTCACGGCCCTTAGCCCGCGTCCTCCCTGGCTTCCGGTTTCCACTCCTCCCGCTTTTGCCGACTCTTCTGAACTGCCCTTTGGATCTCAAACGGTTGATGACCCTCCCCGTGCACATTCTCCCATCGTCCCCCCATCTGCTCCCCATGTCGCTGCTCTCCGAATAGCTCTGTCTCCAGGAGCGCTGAACACTGAGCGCTGGGGTGAGCCCCCATCCAGACCTGCAGGGGCGCCGGGTCTGGATGAGGAGTGATTGCTCAGTGGGGACAGAGTATCTGTTTTTCTCCATGTGGTTGTTGCTGGGTGCCACTGATTCTGTTCCCGCCCGGTCCTGCCCGGTCCTCACTATGGGGCCTGTGCCCAAGCCCCTCAGGCAGCCCAGCTGGTCGGGGGCCTTCCTTTTTCACTTTACCAAGCGTGACATCGTCATGACGTAAGATGAAGTCCCGCCACCCTTGCCTCTAAGGAGCCCTCTGGCCTTACTCCTTCCAAGAGAAGTCCGTTAGTCCTTCTAGCGGTCTGGTACTTTGGATCGTCTTCTCCCGCGCCGTTGTGCAAACGCATTGATGCGCCTTTGGTCTTCCTCCGTCAGTGACCAACGTTCACATGCTTAGGAGGCCACTGAAAACACCACGGCTTGGGTCAGGCGCACCTTAGTCCTCAAAGGAACACGCTTCTTGTGCAGCAGATTTGCCCAAGGCCGCCCGTCTTTAGATCTCTTGACTGCTGCTCCCATGAGCATTGACTGTGGATCCCAGCAAGCCAACACCCTTGACAACTTCCACTTTTTCTCTGTTGATCATGAGGTGACCTGTTGGTCCAGTGGTGAGGGTCTGGGTCTAAGTGGTGGTGGGTAGAATTAATAGACAGTGGTGGGTGTAATTCGTCTCACCAAATCACACTGGAGGCATGAGGCTTAAGCCCCCCACTGCGGTTCCTGGGGATCTGCTCCCACCCAGACGCCAGCCCCCTGGGCAGTGCCGGTGTCATGCCAGCCGCTATGAGCTGAATTGGACTTGATGGCAGCTGGCAGCA